GTCTCCTCATTGACGTGTCCCATGGTTGGGGTGTTCCCATGTCAGGGTGTTGTCGGGGTGTCCCTTTGGTGGGGTGTCCCTCAGTTGGGGTGTTCTGTTCTCAGAGTGTCCCTTTATTGGGGTGTCCCCTGGTCAGGGTGTCCCTCAGTTGGGGTTTTCTCTTGTCAGAGTGTCTCTTCATAGGGGTGTCCCTTCATTGGGGTGTCCCTGGGTGGGGTGTCCCCTGGGTGGGGTGTCCCCTGGTCGGGGTGTCCTTCAGTTGGGGTGTTCTCTTGTCAGAGTGTCCCTTCCTTGGGGTGTCCCTTCCTTGGGGTGTCCCTCGGGTGTGATGTCCCCATGTTGGGCTGTCCCCTCGTCGAGCTGTCCCATTGTTGAGCTGTCCCATTGTTGAGCTGTCCCCATGTCAGGGTGTCCCCATGGCAGTGCTGTCCCCCCCCCAGTCAGGCTGTGATCCCCCCCCCATTAATCCCGCTCTTCCCCCCACAGAACCGGAACCGGTCCAGGCACAGCAGAGCAAGACAGGGAAATACGTCCCGCCCAGCCTGCGGGACGGGGCCAGCCGGCGTGGGGAGTCCATGCAGCCCAACCGGCGGGGTACGGCGCAGCGGGGTCCCACCTGGGGGTCCTTTGGGGTCTTTGTGGGGTCCTTGGGGGGCACACATAACCCCAAAGGATCACTTGGATCCGACCTATGTGTCCTTTTGGGGTCTTTGTGTCCCTTGGGATCCTTGTGGGGCACAGGTGACCCCGTGGGACCACCTGGATCCAACCTATGGGTCCTTTGGGGTCTTTGTGTCCCTTGGGATCCTTGGGGGGCACAGATCACCCCATGGGACCACCTGGATCCAACCTATGGGTCCTTCTGGGGTCTTTGGGTCCCTTGGGATCCTTGGGGTCCACAGGTGACCCCATGGGATCACCTGGATCCAACCTATGGGTTCTCTTGGGGCCTTTGTGTCCCTTGAGATCCTTGGGGTCCACAGATCACCCCATGGGATCACCTGGATCCAACCCATGGGTCCTTTTGGGGTCTTTGGGGGTCACAGATGACCCCATGGGACCATTAGGGTTTGACCTTTGGGTCCTTTTGGGGTCTTTGTGTCCATTGGGGCGGCCATCTTGGAGGTCCATTCCCAACCTGAGCCTCTCTGTGGGTGTTATGGTGATGTTGACGGTGTTGTGACGGTGTGATGGTGGCGATGGTGTTGTGATGGTGGTGATGGTGTTGTGGTGATGTTATGATGATGATGGTGTTGCAATGGTGATGATGGTGATGGTGTTGTTGTGATGGTGATGGTGATGATGGTGATGGTGGTGTTGTGATGGTGATGATGGTGGTTGTTTGGTGGTGATGGTGGTGGTGGTGGTGGTCAAGGTGATGGTGTTATGGTGTTATGGTGGTGTTACAATGATGATGATGGTGTTGCGATGGTGGTGATGGTGTTACGGTGGTGTTGTGATGGTGATGATGGTGTTGTGAAGGTGATGATGGTGGTGGTCTTGATGGTGTTATGGTGCTGATGGTGTGATGGTGGTGGTGGTGGTGGTGGTGATGGTGTTGTGGTGATGTTATGATGATGATGATGATGATAGTGTTGTGATGGTGATGATGATGATGATGGTGTTGTGATGGTGATGATGATGATGATGATGATGATGGTGTTGTGATGGTGATGATGATGATGATGATGATGATGATGATGGTGTTGTGATGGTGATGATGGTGATGGTGGTGTTGTGATGGTGATGATGGTGGTGGTGTCATGGTGATGATGGTGGTGGTGATCATGGGTGGTCGTGGTGATGGTGTTATGGTGTTATGGTGGTGTTACGATGATGATGGTGGTGTTGTGATGGTGATGATGGTGATGGTGGTGTTGTGATGGTGATGCTGGTGGTGGTGGTGTTGGTCATGGTGATGGTGTTATCGTGCTGATGGTGATGGTGGTATAATGGTCTTATGATGCTGATGGTGGTGATGATGGTGGTGATGATGGTGACAATGATGTTAATGGTGTTATGGTGTTGTGATGATGATGACGATGATGATGGTGTTGTGATGATAATGGTGCTGTTGTGATGACAATGATGGTGTTGTGATGACGGTGGTGTTGTGATGATGATGATGATGGTGCTGACGATGATGGTGTTGCGATGACGATGGTGCTGTGATGATGATGGTGTTGTGATGATGATGATGATGTTGATGGTGCTGTGATGATGATGGTAGTGTTGGGATGATGCTGATGGTGTGGTGATGATGACGATGGTGTTGTGGTGATGACGATGGTGTTGTGATGGTGACAGTGGTGTTGTGATGATGACGATGGTGTTGTGATGGTGACAGTGGTGCTGTGATGGTGACGATGGTGTTGTGATGATGCTGATGGTGTTGTGATGATGACAATGGTGCTGTGATGATGATGGTGGTGCTGTGACGATGCTGACGGTGTTGTGATGGTGCTGACGGTGTTGTGATAATGATGGCGGTGTTGTGATGATGACGATGGTGTCGTGATGATGACGGTGGTGTTGGGATGGTGACAGTGGTGTTGTGATGGTGACAGTGGTGCTGTGATGGTGACGATGGTGTTGTGATGATGCTGATGGTGTTGTGATGATGACAATGGTGCTGTGATGATGATGGTGGTGCTGTGACGATGCTGACGGTGTTGTGATGGTGCTGACGGTGGTGTTGTGATAATGATGGCGGTGTTGTGATGATGACGATGGTGTCATGATGATGACGGTGGTGTTGGGATGGTGACAGTGGTGTTGTGATGATGACGATGGTGTTGTGATGATGCTGACGGTGTTGTGACGATGATGACGGTGTTGTGACGATGATGACGGTGTTGCGATGATGATGGTGGTGTCGGGATGATGACGGTGGTGTTGTGATGATGACGATGGTGCTGTGATGATGCTGATGGTGTTGTGACGATGCTGACGGTATTGTGATGGTGCTGACGGTGTTGTGATGGTGCTGACGGTGTTGTGATGGTGCTGATGGTGTTGCGATGGTTCTGACGGTGTTGCGATGATGATGGTGGTGTCGGGATGATGACGGTGGTGTCGTGATGATGACGGTGGTGTTGGGATGGTGACAGTGGTGTTGTGATGATGACGATGGTGTTGTGATGATGCTGACGGTGTTGTGACGATGACGATGGTGCTGTGACGATGACGATGGTGCTGTGATGATGACGGTGGTGCTGTGACGATGACGGTGTTGTGATGATGATGATGATGCTGATGGTGCTGTGATGATGCTGATGGTGCTGTGATGATGCTGATGGTGTCGTGATGATGACAATGGTGTTGTGATGATGCTGACGGTGTTGTGACGATGACGATGGTGCTGTGATGATGATGATGTGATGATGATGATGATGATGGCGTTGTGACGATGACGATGGTGCTGTGATGATGACGATGGTGTTGTGATGATGCTGACGGTGTTGTGACAATGACGATGGTGCGGTGACGATGACCCCGTGCCCCCCCAGCTGATGACAATGCCACCATCCGTGTCACCAACCTGTCTGAGGACACCCGTGAGACCGACCTGCAGGAGCTGTTCCGGCCCTTCGGCTCCATCTCCCGCATCTACCTGGCCAAGGACAAAACCACGGGGCAGTCCAAGGTGGGCCAAAGCCCCCTTATTTTCTGCCCCCCCCCCC